CCACAAGAAGTAAAATTGATAACTTAGATATTAAATACTGATATTAAAACTGAAATCTTCTGCTGAATTAAAAAAAGACAAGCCACAGTCTGGGAGAAAATATTTGTAACACACATAACCATAAAAGGATTAATATCCAAAATATATAAAGAATTCCTACAAATCGATAAGAAAATGACTAACAAACCCAATGGGGAGATTAGCGAAGAATATAAACAGATGGATAACAGGAAAGGCAATGGAAATAAGTCAAACATATGATAAGGAATACATCCTCATTAGAATATGAGAAAATACAAATTAAAACAACCAGGAGACACCACTGTACACTCCTGAGGTGGACAAAAATTAAAACAATTAATAATATTAAATGTTGGTTCAAATATGAGGGAACACTCTCATACATGTCCAGGGATTCTTAGTTAAATGGTCTGGGATGGGGCCAGGCATCAGTATTATTTTAAAAGCCCATCAGGAGATTCCATTCCAGGCCGGTGAAGATCAGGGCACTCTGAGACCTAAACTCTTTCCTGAACACATCGCCCTCTAGTGGTCCCTGTTTTCTCAACTGCACCCCTCACATCTTAGAGTCTGGAGGTGATATAAAGTGTCTGACTCTCACTGCTACTTCCAGATCACTGTTTCTCCCTCCAACCCTTGAAACCTACTCCTCCTGGTTGCAGTCATCCACAGAACCAATCACTACCTCATTCATTGAGTATTTTAGCATCGCTTACTGTCTAAGTCCAACACCACTCCTGTTATAATTCCAGTGATTTCAATAGCTATGTAGAGATTCTTTCATTCCCCTGGCTTCTTACTTCTTTGATATTCTCTCTTCTAATGATCTTGTCCTGCAACCTACCTCAGCTGTGCATTCCCTTATTATACCCTAGATATTATTATTCCCAATGGCTGTACCCTCTCCATAATCTCCATTGCCAGCATCCCACCTTACAGCTACCACCTCCAATCCTTTCCCTCTAATCTCAACAATTCCCCAGCCCCACTGGATTAGACTGAAAGATCATGATCCATCCTTTTAATCAGCCCTCTGCATTCACCCTCAGCTACCCTACTCCTCTCTCCTCAACCCAGCTTAAATCCAGCTCACTACTGGGCTATACTGAGCCTGAGCAGTTGAATGTAGCTGGAGAAATACACATCCATGCTGACTGTCTCACGTGAAATTCATGACTGGGTCCCAACCTCAAGAGGGAGCAGCAATCCTACCATACTTCCTACTCCCCTGCCCTAGCCCATTCACTCTCTCCTGTCTTACACCTCCTCCTCTCTCTTACACTTCCAACACCTCCTTCCCTTCCTCTCTCTCGGCTGATGATGCTTCGTTTTTCATGAAGAAAATTAATGCAACCAGAAGAGTATTTCCACATCCTCCCTGCAAAACTCTACTAGCTTACTTACACCTGTTCTACTTTACTTTCCTCTGTCTCCTGAATGAACTCTCTGTGTCAAGAGCCAATTCCTCCCCAGTGGCACTGAATCCCATTCCTGTTTGACTACTCCAGGAAATCACTCTTACAATTATCTTCTCTCTACTGCGTCATCATTTTTCTGCTCTAATGTATGATTCCAATTAGCATAAATGCTACAATTTCTCTCATTTAAAAAAAAATCACTTCCTTTTAACCGACAATCTCTTCTTCTTTTACACCAGAACTCCTTGAAAGAGTTGTTTTACTCACCGTCTCCAGTATTCTTCTCCCATTCTCTCAAACCCACTCCAATCAGGTTTCCTTCCCCACCACTCCAGAGAAATAGCTCTTGTCAAGGTCACCAATGATGTCCACATTGCCAAATCCAAGGGTCAATTCTCAATTTGCATCTGAACTATCAGCAACATTTAACACAGTTAAAAGATTTTGAAAAGTGTTCTTACTTGGCTTCTGGACCCCCATTCTCCCCTCCTCCACTCTCACTCCCACACACCTCCCTCCAATTTTCCTGCTGAATCATTAGCATTCCTTCCCAGTCTCCTTCTGGGTTCCTTATCTCTCTAACATGGAACACCCAAGACTCAGTCTTGGATTCTTCTCTTCTCCAACTCTATACACCCCCGTCCTGGTCCATGGCTTCAAAAACTATTTATTTGTTGATGACTCCCCAGCTGCTACCTCCTGCCTAGACTTCTCCCTTGAATTCCAGACTCCAACTGCCTGCTAAACATTTGCTAAGTTGTTCCTGTTGAAAACCAAGTGCTTGAATTCTCACTACCTCAAACCCCAACACTGCCCCTTTTGCAGCCCTGATCTCAGTAGATGATACTTCTATTCTTGCAGTCATTCAAGTCAAAATCCTTGCAGTAATTTATAACTTCTTTCTTTTGCTCAAACTCCACATCCAATCCATAAGCAAATTTTGTTGAGTTTTTCTTTGAAATATATCCATAAGCGAACACCTCTCACGCCCTCCACCACTCCCACGGTGGCCAAACTATTATTCTCTCTCACATGGATAACTGCAATGGGCTCCTAACTGGTCTATCTGCCTCCGCCTTTCCCTCCACCCATCCACCCACCCCAACCCCATCCCAACCCAATTAGAACCAGACACTAGAATCATGGCACACTGCCACTTAAAAGCTGTAAGTATTCTCTTCTCGCTCAAAGTATAAGCTAAACCCCTACTGTGGTGTGCAAGGCACTGCCTAGTCTGCCCCATCTCTCAGTCTCCACTACTTCTCTGGCCTCATCTCCGTCCACTCTGCCCTATCCTCCCTCTGCTCCAGCCACACTGGCCACCTTACCATTCTGTGAGTGCACCAAGCATGCTCCCACATTGCTCTCGCAGTTCCCTTTGCCTGAAAATGTCCCCAGGTATCACCATTGTTTACTCCCTTACTTCTTTAAAATCTACACTGAAATGTCACTTTATCGGCAGTGGTTGCCCCCACCCATCATTCTCTAGACCCTATAGACTCTATATCCTGCTTTATTCCACCACCTGATATATTATCTAGTTACTCTATCTCCATTTCAATAGCACGTAAGTTCTTTGAGGGCAGGACTTTGCTTTGCTCCTTATTGTATTCCCAGCACCTAGAGCAGTTCTAGGTACATAGCAGATGCTCAAAAAAGTTTGTTCAGTGAATGACTGACTACAGGATAATTTCACAATATCTAGCGAAGGTGAACTGGCTACTCCACTTCTAGCCTGATACAAGAAAACATACAAAGATGGCCTTTGCAGCACTATATGTAATATAGTATATAGCACTACATGTACTAATATGTGAGTGAAACATGAAACGCGCTAAACGTCCATTGCTTGTGGAACGAATAAATTGTGGCGTATTTATACAACGGAACCCTATAAAGACTTTGAATTGAATGTACTAGAGCTACATTTATGAACGTGAATGATTCTCAAATATATAATGTTGAGTAAACAAGTGTATAGGATGTTATTTACAAAATTTTAAAACATTGAAAAATAATTTTATATAATGTTTATGGGTGAGGACATGTGTAATAAAGTATGGAAATATGGGTGGGAAGGATACACACCAACCTCAGGACAATGGTTACTGCTGGGGAAGGTGAAGAATGGAGGGATAGGGTTTCAAACATATCTGTAACATTTTTTTTTTCTTTTAAAAGAAGGTTCTAAAATAAATATGGCAAAAAAAATTTGTTAAATCTATATATTGTCATAGTATTCTTTACTTTTTTTCTTATACAAACAGGTATTTGTCATATTATTCTCTGCTTTTCTATATGTTTTAAATACTCCAGAATTCTTTAAATGAATAACAAATTTTTAAGTTGCAAAAAAATAAAAGTTTTGAACTAAAACCTGGTGGGCTTGGAAGCAGCAACATTTGAGTAAAAGGGCATAATTTGCAGTTGGCAACAAAACTTGTTGCTAGGGTTGCTTGGTTGATATTCTTTTATTGGAAAGGTGTGGTTTGGGTCAAAGGAGAAAAGGAAACCAGCCCTTTAAAAGGGAATCCCGATTGGCCTGTCGCCATTCAGCACAGCAGAGACGGGCAGGTGTAGCAAAGGTGCTTGCTCTCCCTAGGCAAGGGCAGAAGTCACAGGCGTGGCCTTTGTGTCTATGGTACACCAAAACACACCTGTCACACCTGGAACACAGTTTGCCAACACAACTGCAAAACTCAGAAAGAATCACTGTTTTTAAAATTATATTTTCCCTAACTTTTATATAAAATATATATACATACATACATATTTATAAGAATGGGTTTATACTATACACACACTTTTGTAAGCTTACCCCGCCTTCGACTTAATATTCAGCTAAGACCTGCCTTCCTTCCATGTCAACAAATCGGATGTACAGTTATGATATTTAATGGCTACAGCATATCCTACTGTTTGAGGTTACTATAGTTTACTTCATCTATCCCTAATTGTGGGACTGATTATTTCCAGGTTTTCCCTAGCGTAAATAACCACCATAAACATCCTTTACATACACACATATTTGTACATACATATTTGCACTTTTGTCTGTTTACTTAAGACAAAGTCGCAAATGTGGAATTCTTGGGCCAAAGCTAATGCTTTTGAATTTTGATCCACATTTCCAAACTGGCCTTCTATAAAGTGTTTTTGGTTGGTTGGTTGATTAATACACTCCCACAAACAGGGTAAGGGAAAGCTTACCCTGTTTAACGCCCAATCAGGGGACCGCAAACTCTTGCTGAACTTGAGTGACCTCTTCCCGGTGAAATTGTCTGCGGGGTTTTCCGGGAGCTTTTAAAGGAAGAAAACGGATCCGGAGAACCCCGAGACTTGCCCGGGGCCGGGTGGGCGCCCCTCTGCTTCTCCCCGCGGGCACAGAGCTGGAAAAGCAAAGTTTCCCAGGGAAGGTCGGAAGCGCAGCCCGGACCCTCCCCTCCTGGGGGAGGGGGAGCGGGGGCGCCACAGCTGCGATCGGGGGCAGGGGCAGGGCGCACGCGGGGCGGGGCCCCCAGGCCTCTCCACCCCCTTGTCCCCCTCCGGCCCGCCCTCCGGCCGCGTCCCCGCCGGCCCTGCCGACGTGGCGGGGCGGGACCCGCGGGCGCTCCTGCGCGCACTCGGCCGCCTGAGCGGTAAGAGCCCCGGGCACCCTCTCCCCATCCCCTTCCCCGGGCGAGGGGTGAATGCGGGCACAGCCGCAGCGGGGCGGTGGGGAGACCCTGCCGTCGCTCCTTGTCCTGGCCCCCGAATCCTGCCCGCTGCGTTAGTGAGAAGTCATCGGCAGGGACTTGGCACCGGGCGCGGGACCCGGGAGGACCGGGCTTCGGGGTGAAGGTCCGGGGAGGCGCGCGCGCGGCGCGGCCGAGGGCCCTGCGTGGGTGCGGGCGTGTGAGTGTGTGTGTGTGAGTGTGTGTCGCTCCGGGTCCACGCTCATGCACACACCCACACGCCCGCACTCTGGGTCTGCCCCCTCGGCCGGCGTGAACCCCCGCGGAGCCTGCCTTGTCTTCCCGAAGTATCCAGTCCCGGCCCCAAGCAAGTCTGAAAGTTTCCCCAATGTCTCTGGTCCCGGGCAGAGAGGCAGAGGGCACAGAGGGAGCAGGTCCCCGTAAGGCAAAGGCCTCCATCCCGAGATTCGCCTGCCCTTGGCTTTGGAAAACTGAGCTCAGGCCTTGACCTCCCACCCAAGCTCATCATCCCGCCCCCCTGCAGATCCAAGCCCTGCCTGCTCTTCCAAGCCAGCCAACGCCCTAAGCTGGCACCACCTCGATGTGCAGCCTCGGGTTGAGTCCTCCTCCCCACCCCAGCCTCCCAGACACCTCCCTACCCCACCCCCGAATCCTCTCATCTTCTCCCCTGCAAGCTGGTGAGTATTTCCAGCCCTCTCAGATTAGGCTCCTGAACTTCACTGCCCTTTCCTAGAGCAGGAAGACATCTCTGTGTGGGCTGTAAGGACGATGTCTGTGCCCTACTGATCCCATCAGTTCCCATCCTAAACATCTTGAGGGATACAAGCAGGTGGCTTTTAAAATCAATGTCTCTCGAACTTCAGAAGCCCTCAGCCAGCCTGAGGTAACAGAATGAGACAGGCTTTCTCCTCAGAGTCCTCTTTCTGCTCTATTTGTGCTTGTGGCCTCTTTCCTACCTCACGCATGTTCATTCCACACTCTCTCCTTCCTTTCCTCCATCAAAACCTGAGCTCAGGAAAGAATCTGATGAACTCCTTACATTGTAGGCTTTAAGCAAAGGAATGAGACTTTCAGGGTGGAATTTGAGGCACAAGGAAGCCAGAACAGAAGAATTTGAGGGTAGGAGGGGGCCTTCTTGACTCTCAGGGATTCAGTTGGTATAAGTAGCCATTTATTTATAAGACAAGGCTTACATCAAACATTATTTCTCTTTAATCAGTCTTAGACAATATATTTCAATTCAGTACATAAGTGAGGATCTGAAACCAAGCTAGGTGCTTGTTGGTCACAGTCCTGGAGGAGAGAATGACATAGAAATACATACTCCTTATAAATGCCATAGGAGTCCATGCAAAGTATCGCAAAAAACCTGGAAGAGGGAGCAATTAATTCTTTGGAAGGAGTGGGACACATTAAGGAAAATTTCAGAGTAAAAAGTGACCTTGGATTTTGGGAAACAAATAGGAGTTTGCCAGGCAGTTGGAGGCAGGGCAGCCTGGACAAGGAGCTGGGAATGTTGATGAGCTGTGAAGGCCATGATGGCAAGTCTGGTGAGGCAGGAGTGTAGGGTGTGTTGAGGATTACAGGAGGTGGGTAGAGAGATTGGAGCTGGATTATGAGGGGCCACAGATGCCATGCAAAGGTGTTTAAACCTAATGGGTTTTAAACAAGGGAGCACATAGGTCCCATATATGTTTCAGAACAATATCTGGCAGACATGTAGAGTGGAGGAAGAGAGAGTGGGGCCTGGGCGTGTACTTGTCAAGCTCTGTAGGAACTCTTGCAACCTGATTAAGAACCTCTCACCCAGAGTTTTTGTTCCTGGTCCTTCACAGACCAGCACTTTTTAAAATTGGGGGTAGTGATTTCACACAGGGTGTTGTGTTACCAAATTCTTATTTTGCCAACTGAGGCCATTTAAAAAAAAATCTATCCACCGCACCACTATTTCATAAAATGAAAGACATTTTAATACCAAGAAAAGCATGAAGGCTAACTTTGCAAGATGAAGGCAGTCCACTACATTTAATAAATTTAGATTGATGAAAAACTTGCTATCTTGTCCTCATTTTTCTCTGTCATCATGGACCAGTCCCAGTCAGTCTGGTGTTTGAGAACAAAGTATCCAGATCGTTTTGTCCAGCCTTACTCTACAGAGGAGGAAGTGAGGAAGCCCGACAGGAAGGAGTGAGTTGTACACCCACAGAGAGAGGTGGGACCAGAGCAAGGCTCTTTCTGCCTCAGAATTCATCCCTCCCATCCCTCACTATTCCTCATGCGGTCTCTTGGCCTGGCCACACAGACATCCATCCTGAATATCTAGAATTCATTCCTGATGCTGGGCATATGCACTTTCTCTTATCCCATCATGCCTGAATAACCATGTCAAAGCCACGTTCAAGGTTCTCTCTTGCACAAGGTCAGTCTAGTTCAGGTACATCTTTCCCTTATTTGATGTGCTGTTTTGCATCATCATTTAAACATTTGGTGTTAGCTGAAATAGTTTCCTGGACCTTCACTGACCAGGAAAAAAATGAAAACAGAATATTCATTTTCTGAAGGATAGTAACCATGGCTTCCGTTTTAAACTTATTTTTGGAGCTATGATGTTGCTGCTCCAATACCTAGCATAGTTCTGAGAGCGTTTTAGGTGATGAATGTATTTACTTATGAAAAACTAACTTATTCTCAGCCCACAAAGGCTTCTTTATGTGCCAATCTTCCTCTCCTTGGAGTTTACTGAAGAAGCCTCCTTGTTTCTGTGGGTTGAGTCTCCCTAGCATCAAAGCCACAGGACATGGCTGCAGTGATCAACATCCCAAACCATAAATCAGGAGAGGTTTATAAGTCTGGTGGCCTGTGGGGCATCCAGGCAGAGATGGGGACTGTCCCAGGAAACACAGCACATCACAGCTGGAGTCCTGGTGGACTCCAGCAGTCACTGCTCAGAAACAGCTGTGTGTTTAGAACACACAATTTCTAATGGCTTCAGACAAAAGGGCACAGTCTTACATATGATTACATCTCTCCTGTCATAATAACATCTAGGGTAGATTATCTAGGTCTACCAGAACAAACAAGCAAACGATTTTTTTTTTTTTTTTTGCTTTTGGTTTTGGTTTAGGAAAAATGTAGACCTGTAACAGAAGGAAGTAAATATAGATTAGAGGTATGTACAATTAAAAGTTCAAGTAGGGCTGAACATTATGGTGACCATTTTTATTATTTAAACAGATGTAAAAATATAGTCTTTCTGAAATTTATAAGTTATCCATAAATATTTCTTAATGGTATCAGTTAAATACCTTACAGCTGACTTTTTGGGTATTACTGAAAGAATGGATCCATGTTGCTGGTTGAATGCAGAGCCGCTGCAGAGAAGAGAGGTTTCGTTTCAGCAATTTTTCTACAATTGAGGTGAACTGATCTAAGGCAGTTTGGCCATCAGAAATCGGTGAGGGCTGTAGGCTTCCTCCCATGCAACCTCCCTACCAAAAGCAATATTATTATGAATCCAAGCTCTCAAATGGTGTTCTGTCACACACGCACATGTATATTAGCGACTGGGCTTGGTTATACAGCTTGTTCTTGTAAGCTTGATGAAGTCCTAGCACTCTGTTTTTTTAGGCCTCTGGTGAGGACTGGTCTAGAGGCAGGACTCAGCTAACTTTCTAATCAGGCTTTGGTGTTCTCCCACATCAGCTAGAAGAACTAAAAAAACTCTACTGCCAAGGGCAATAAGCTACTGGACTCAATATAATCTTTTGCCTTGCTAATAGAAGGGCAGAAAGCATCTGTACATTATTTCTTGCCAGTTGACATATTTTAAGCACCATTTATGCATTTCATCAGCAAAAAATGATTTCTAATATCCCTTATGCTTATTAGCACACCCTGGAGTACCTTCAGAGAAGGTAATAGTTGAACCCCCTCAAGAGGCAAACACTCAGTTATAGACTTTGAAATGCTAACTAAAGATCTCTGGAGAGTATATTCCCGAATAGGGTAACTCAGATGTTAACCAATCACTCCCAGGGTATAAATTACAACTAATGCACACATATGTCACATGGTATATGCTGAAATATCTTAGCATTATGAACACTATCGCAACACATTTAGGGCAAAGCATACCCAACACAGTGTCTGTAATGCTTTTTACTTGCCCACAAATGTTCATCATAGCTGGTTTATTCATGTTTCTGCTTATAGAAAAGTGAAATAGTTTGGAGCTTCGTAATAATCCAGATTAATAATAAGGATTTTCAAACTATCTTACAAAGAAATTAAAATATCAGACAGTGTCTATGACCAGCTATCGATGAACAGAAAATGGGAATAAAAGTGATGTCCGAGCATCATTTATTCATGGGCCCATTCTCCTTAGGGTCATGGCCCTAGGACCCAGGCGAGGATAAGATAAATTAGGACAGAGAACTCTTTAGGCCATGGCAATCGAGCAAGGTCCTAGGCCACGAGTCAGGAGACGTTTTCTGTAAAGAGCCAGATAGTAAATATTTTAGGCTTTGCAACTTTGCCGGCCATATGGTCTCTGTCACAACTACTCGACTCTGCTGTAGTAGTGCTAGAGAAGCTGCAGACAGTACATAAACAAATGAGTGTGTCTGTGTTCCAATAAAATTTTATTTACCAAAACAGATGGAGGACAAGATTTAGCCAGCAGGCTATAGTTTGCCAACCCCCGTCCTAGACCAATCCTGACTCAAGGTTTTCACAAAGATTTTATAATCTTCCAAATGACAATAGCTTTTCAAATACCCTCCCTCAATTCCACCCCCCTCCCAGGAACCACAGTAACTACCTCTTTTCTGTACAGTGACCTTGTGTCATTCTTTACTACTTCAACTAGGCTTTGACCATACTCATTGACAGACCATCTCCAACCTTGAATATCCTAAACTTCCAGCTAAAGGGAAGTATGCATCTGTTGCCTTTCTCATCTGTAGACTTGTTTGCAGGAGTTCTATCACTGAATTCAAGGATTTTTGTTTAAAAAGAGACATTCTAACTCAGTTAACTGGGAGGTGAAGGAACAAAATAAAGATGATGCGGGTCATTTGGAAACACTTGCCGTGAGATAGTTCCTGAGCAGTAAATGAGGTAAAGGCATTTTCTACTTGCTTTCGTTTCCAATTACATTTTAATTTTAAATCTCTACACTAATATTAATGTAACTCAACAAACATATTTGTTGAGCTTCCCACCATGTTCAAGAAACCATGTTAAGTGCTATATAAAATATGAGAACAACAAAAGAAAGGTCCTTGTCTTCATAGAATTTACAATATAAAAGGAAACACTCAAGCAACTCTAATCAAAGAGGATTGTGACTGTCCAAGGTGAGATAGACACAAAGCACTCTGGAAATTCAGAGGAAGAAAAATTATATCCAATTGGGAGGAACAAAAAAATGGCGAAAGTGGTTATTTTAACTGGGCCTTAAATGTGTAGAAAACAACATATGGAGCCAACAGCCACCTGAGAGTCTTTCGAATGTCAGGCATTATCCACATACTTACATTGTCTCGTTTAAGGATTTGGAAGGGCATAGTGGGACATAAGCCTGGTGAGATCAGAGCACAGAGGTCCTTGGATGCCAGCTGAAGCATGTGGCCTCATCTCAGTAGTAGGTGGGAAACCCCGAGGATGTCTGAGCAGGAGAGTGATGTACTTAGAGCAGTGAGATGAAGGATGGGGAAGGATGGGATAGTGAAAAGGAGAGCAACAGTAGAGGGGTGAACCCAATATTGAAATCATCAACATGAACCATAGTGAGGACCTGATCTAGGGGGGTGGCAGGAAGAACAGAAGTAAAAGAAAGGACATGGATTCTGAATAAAGAGCCTCTAGGATTTGGGTGCTGGTTGAATCTAAGAGAAGAGGCAGGTGGCGTTGCAGATAGTGTTCTATCGTGGTTCAGTCTCAAAGTTAGACATGAGTTCAAATCTGCCACTTACTAAAAGTGTGACCTCTAAGCCTCAGTTGCCTCGTCTGTAAAATGGAGCTCATAATATCTAACTCACAGGAGGTAATACATTTAAAGAGCCTGGATTGAATAGGCACTCAATAAATGGCAGATATTAATATTATATATTCTTGAGAGAGTGAAGGTTTAGTTAATGACAGCTCTGAGGTTTATGCCTGGGTTATTGGGGAAATCTAGGTGCCATTAAAAGAAACACCAAAGTCAAGAGGAAGATCTAGTATTAACAGTAAGACTTTTGGACAAGATAAGACTTTTGGACTTTTGGACTTTCGTTTCCTTTTGGTCAAGAAGAGATGTCTAGCTGGCCGTTAGAACTACTTATCTGGATGTAGAACTTTTTTTGTAACAGTGTTACTGAGATATAAATCACATAACAAAATGCACATACTACAAAATTTACTCTTTTAAAATGTGCAGTTCAGGGGTTTTTAATATATTCACAGCACTTTACAGCCATTACTAGTCTCTAATTTTAGAACATTTTCATCACCCACCAAAGAAATCCATACCCATTAGCAGTCACTACTCTTTCCCCCTCCCTTTGGCCCCTGGAAACCACTAATTTGCTTTCTGTCTTTATGGACTGGAGGTAGATATTCGAGAATCACAACATGAAATTGGTGGAGAAAGGAATGTGATTCACCAAGGGAGAGAATGTAGCAAGAGAAAAGCAAATAGCCAGGCAACCTTGAGGAATGGCTGTTTGACTGGACAAGAGGATTGGCATGTGGCACATGAGTTCTAAGCCTGTACCACCATGTGGCCAGTATGTTAAGTGGCTTCTCACATACCGTGGTTTTAGCACCAACCCAAGATTTGACCAGTTGGTAAACCCTGAGGGCAACAGAAATGTCCACAGATTTCACTGAGACTTGGCTTCTTGTGTAGTGAGAACACTGTGTCTTCATTTTAGTCTAAGAAAATTATCCTCTTGAACTAGCCTTCTAAATCTGTGCTATCCAGTAAAATAGCCCCTAGCCACACGTGCCTATGTAAAATTTAAATTTAAATTACCTAAAGTTAAATAAAATTAAAATTTTAGTTCCTCAGTTGCACTAGCCACATTTCATGTGCTCAATAGACACATGTGGCTATTGGCTACCACACTGGACAGTGCAGATATAGAACATTTTTGTCATCACAGAAAGCTCTATTGAATGACACTGTTCTACATGATATCAGTAACTTGCAAGCTTGGTAGAGTTTTCTGCTTTGTAGGTTATTTCATAATGGCTACATTCCTCATTTAGCTTAATACCTCATTTCTTTCCTTTCCATTTCATCCTGTGTTTCCCTGTCTAAACTATTGTCCAAACAAAGCCCAGGTCTTCACCAGCTGGTACCTGACAAAGCACGTTTATGTATATGTATGTCTCTTTCTCAATGTGAATCACTGACGACATTGCAAAGCTAAATGTCAAGTAATTTTTGATAAGCTCTCAGGTATTTTCTACAGTTATTCTCAATATTGCTACAAATATAACCGATAAAGTCATATTAAATAAATAATTTCACAGATAGAGGAAATGCTCTTAGTTCCCATATGCATATCCTTGAATACCATGTAAGAGACCCTCTAAAGATAACATTGTAGGTTTGTATTAGTTTCCTATTGCTGCTGTAACAAATTACAACAAACTTAGTGGCTTATAACAACACAAATTTATTCTCTTACAGTTCTGGTGGTCAGAAGTCCAAAATCAGTTTCATTTTGGCTAAAGTCAAGCTGTTGGTAGGTGATTCCTTCTGGAGTCTCTGAGGGGAGAATGGTTTCCTTGACTTTTTCAGCTTCTAGTGGCCACCCATATTCCTTTTCTGGTGGCCCCCTCCTTCATCTTCAGAGTATATCACTCCAATATCTACCTCTGTCGTCACATCACCGTTTCCTCTTTGTAGTCAAATCTCCTTCCGCCTCTCTCTGATAAGGACACTTGCACTTTCATTTAGGACCTACCCAGATAATCCAAGATAATCTCCCCATCTCAAGATCCTTAATTTAATCGTATATGCAAAGTCTCTTTTGCCATGTAAGGTAACGTTCACAGGTTCCAGGGATTGGAACATGGATGTCCTTGGGGACCATGATTTAGCCTACCCCGAGGTTACATGAAGTTTCTTATTAGTAGAAAAAGTTTTCCCCTACCAGATTTAATTTTATTATTCAGGGCTTTGAATTAAAGTTTAATAATTCAGATTAAAGCATAAACGGTTTGTAATCATGTTGACAGATATTAAAATGTCTGACAATGCTGGTGACACCCTAGCCACTGGAGACAAAGCAGAAATTACAGAGATGCCCAATAGTGATTCTTTACCCAAAGATGCAGAAGTGCACTGTGATTCAGCTACAATTTCAAACGAGCCAACACCAGCTGACCCCAGAGGAGAGGAGCATGAAGATGCAACCATTCAAGGAGCAGAGACTGCTGACATTAGGCATCCTGAGCAGCCCACAGAGACCAGTGCCATGGAGCCCCCCCTCAATGGAGAAGTGACTGAGGATGTGCTTGCCAAATGCATTGACTCCGTCAACCTCGAGGCAGAATCCGGATCCGAAATACCTCTGAAAGAACAGAATAATCCGGTAAGAGTGTTTCGTTCGATTCAGTTCGACCTAACTTCTTACTGATACCTACCATAGGCACAGATTTGTGCCAGACTCTGTGAGTGGGGATTGGGCGTTCAGAAGATACCATGACATCACTCTGTCATTAAAAACGTGGTGTGTGGTTAGAAAAGGCGTATATGAGGATGATTGGTCATTATAATATTTGCGTTTTCGTCATTGCGTTATTAATAATAATAACCACCACCAATTATTGGACACATCCTGTGTGCCAGGCACTCTGCTAGCCACTTTATATCTTATGTAAGTCATTCCATATAACAGTTCTTTGAGGTTGTAAGCTGAATATTATTAACCTCAATTTGTAGACAAGGCAATTAGGCTCAGAGATATTAAGCAACCCAGTTAGTTATTAAGCTACTTAGTAGTGAACAGAAGATATTGTAATATTGAACGTGAGTCCAAATTATTAATGAGCCCGATTTTACCCTAAACATCAATGTTTCTTTAATATCACTTAAATTTTAATGCATATTTATAAGTCCATTATGGAGATCTTAAACATTCAGATCACTGTTTTATCATCACACATCACTTCCAGGGGATCAGAGGCAAAGCATGTTCACTGCTCCTTCCCTTCAGTGCCTGCACCTGTTTCTCTGGGGGCTAAGTTGGGCCAGTGTCTCTCAGTTGGTTCCTTGTGCTACATCAATATGACTGTCGAGCTGGGTTTTCTTGGCATCTTCGCCTCCATCCATGTGGGGACTGGTAGGGGTGGGGAGTCACTCAGCATGAAAGAAGGAGGCAGGCCACTCTCCTCCAATCCTGCCTTCCAGAATGATGGTATGGGATGGGAGAATTGGGGTCCTCCCTCAGCCAGGCCCCAGCCCTGCTTATCCTGAAGTGTGCTGCCACAGATCACCTCCTTGAAGGGACTCTGCTGCATGCGGTAGGGAAGGGCACCAAACAGGCAGCCAGGGGCCTGGGCTTTTTTCCTTCAATCTATCATTAACTCTGTTAGTTTGGGCAAGACATCTAATTTCTCTGCGCCTCAGTTTTTTCCTCTATAAAATGAGGGATTTGCATATGAAGACCACCAGGTATCCTTCTAACTAGTGTTTTGTGATTCTTTTATTCAAAATTAGGCTTCTTGTTTCTCAGTTTCCTCAAGGGGACTCTTAGAACTAGCTTAAGATGAGATGGGCTTCGTTGGGGAGGAGGGTGTTTCCCATCATTGGAGATGTTTAAACAAAGGCAAACAGTCATTTTGCAGGGATGTCATGGAGGGGATTTGAGGACCAGCTGGGAGTTTGGATCAGATATATAAACAAACATGCAAAATTTTGTTTATGAGCCCCAAGAGTTTACAGACCCTTTGAAGCCCTCCATGAACCCTCTAAGGGATTAAGAACTCCAAGACCAGAGGTTCTCAATCCTAGCATAACTTTTCAACCATTGGGAGAGCTGTAAAAATTACTGATGCCAGGATCTGTATTAGTCTGGGTTCCCCAGAGAACCAATTGGAGATTTTATATATATATAAAAATATATCCTGTGCCTATATACCTGACTCTGGAACCTGTTTTCTCTCCATGCTATCTTTCTATTGTGGGAGCATTGGTTCCCAATTTTTATTATAAATGCTACTGTTAATAAATATCTTTGTACCTGAAGAAAAATATCTTAGCCACACCATTCTGACCTCAGATGACTTAAAGAAACTACACAAACTCCACTAATTCAAAATATATGTGTTCCTGATGCTTAGATTATACTTTCCAATTTCAGACTTCTACTAATTATAACAAGATTGTTAATAAAGATAGCACAATAAAAAGTCAGTATGCTCCTATACATCTGCCTTTTTAAATTTTTTGAGCAAGTCGAATGAATCCTGCCTTTGAAAGCACTTTATAAACCTCCTTAAGCTACAGGGATAGAGCCGCTGGCAGACAGATGCTCCTCTCCTCTCCCTGCACAACACTCATAGCCTTCAAGGACTTTGAAAAGGTAAGCATTTCCTCAGAATGAAGCATCACACAAGTATCTGGATGGAAGTGCAAATAGTGGCCAGAGTTGGGACCGTGGCTCTGGATGTATGTGTGTGGCATTGCATCAGGAACTCAGATAGAACCAAGGTGTGGGAGGAATACCTGTGAGTATATTTGTTCTAAGAAGGCAGAAAGCTGATATGGCTGGAAGGGCCTTGAGGGGAGAGGATATCTCTTTCAGCCAGGTCATATTTAAACCCTTCTAAGTAGGTGCAAATTCAGTCTCTCTTTAAGGATTACCAGAAAAGGAGATTCTACTGTCTCTCTTGGTAACCTATCCTTTTATCTTAAGTTAATATTAGAAGTCAATTTTGTGCCTCATCCTTAAGCATTGTTTGGTTTGCTCTGATTTAATTGCCCTTTGTTGGACACTTATAAGTCCTTTTGTGGTGATGAAAACAAATATTTTTCTGTTGACCCAGAAGAGAATAAATTCAAAATCTTGAATCAAAAGATCATTTACAAAGGGCCAACCCAGTGCAGTGGCATAGTGGTTAAGTTTGGCATGCTCCACTTCAGTGGCCTGGCTTCACAGGTTCGGATCCCAGGTGCGGACCGACACCACTCATCAGCCATGCTGTGGTGGCAACCCACATACAAAATAAAGGAAGATGGGCACAAATGTTAGCTCAGGGCCACTCTTCCTCAAGCAGAAAAGGAAGATTGGCAACAGGTGTTAGCTCAGGGCCAAGCTTCCTCCTCCCTCGAAAAAAAAAACAAGGGTCATTCACAAGTTGGCTGTTTGGATCTTGAACATAGGTCCCCCAAGGAATGACAGGTCCGATAGGAAAACAGCCAAGCTCAAAAGCCTATTTGACTCCAGGTGTATCTGAGCCTAGAAGAATCTCATCACCTCTTTAAAAAAGTTTCTGTGGGAAAGTGCCTGCTTTAAAAAGAAACCTGGCAGAATAGCCTTTGAGGAAGTATAAACCAATATCTTCTAGGACACATTAGATTTTGTGACAATGTGCTTAAATGTATCTATTTTTTTATAAGTGGTTTGCATCTACATAGTTACTTTGGGTCTGGGTCTCCTAAAATCCGCATTATTAGCTTCACCTTTGCCTCAGTCAGCATGGCGGCCATAACTTGGCAGGTAGGGTGGTGTGACTAGGAGGGATCCTAGGGCCAGTGGTTCTGCCAGCTGCTCAGCTGGCACTTCTGCTTAGAGGGATCACACCATTCACAGTTGAGGCCCTCAGAGAAGCTATCTCTGTCTTTGGAACTCCTCTTTCTCATCCGTTCTGATGTACAGACTCAGAAGCCATTGAGCTGAGGCTTCCTGCAGGAATCTGCTCTACAACATCCATGAGAGGCGGTACCCAGCCTCACTTGAACACTGGAGGTTGGACTAGATTCTCTAAGGCCTCTGCCAGCCCCATGACACTGTGCGTTATGCCCAGGAATCTGAGTGATGCAGCTATCTTTGGGATGCCTACAGTCTAGCTGGGGAAGGCAGTGTTGTATAAAAGCAATTATAGCATGTCGTATGGTGCTAGACAGGACAGGCACAAGGAAGCCTTAGAAGGAGCGCTTAATCCATCTTATAGAGTCAGGGAAGTCTTCAGCCTCAATTCAGAGACGTTGGTCTTGGGTGCTAGTCAGGAGTGACATTTATTTCCAGAGATCTTGTGGGACTTTATTATATACTAGTCCATCGGTCTCTAAAAGATCCAATCTAAATCAAATTTTTCTAAGTTCTTAAAACCAAGAAATGTTACCCAAAGTAAAAAAATGTCATCCCTATTATCCAATGCCAATGTATAAAGCCAATTATGAAGAAGGTAAAGAATTCCAACATTACCACTAAAAGTACTCTCAAAGGAAAACATAGACTACCACTTGATAGTTTTTTCCCCAGCAAAGGAAAAGCAGAATGTTTAGGAGGCATAAAATTGCTGTGGAGGGAGACAAAGAAGAGAGAACATAGGCCAAGACATGCTGATGGCAAATTTTTGCCTCTTTAATGAGTGAGTAGAGTTTGTTCCAATTCTGTTTATTTCCCTTTTTAAGCCTGCTCTACATGATGGCACCCAGTTTTTTGGTCTGGGCAACCACGTGAATGCTGGTGCCATTTGGCCGTATTGAGCAGTGCTGCCTAAATCTGGTGGCATATTGGAATCACCTGGGGAGCTTGGTAAAAATTCAGATTCCTGGGCTCTACCTTGAGAGATTCTTATTCAAAAGATCACAGTGGAAGCCAAGACTCTGTATTTTTAATAAGTTTCCACAGATGATAGTCTTGCAGTCAGTCTGTGGACCAGTGTTTCGGAACCACTAATATTAGGTCTCAGAAAGAGCTAGTTGGGGGATTGGGTGAGATTGAGAAGATGGTGAGTTCAGTGTTGAACATGCCATGGGACGTCCAAGTGAAGATATTTTGTGTGCAGTTGGTTATAATAGTCTGGAGCTCAGGAGAGAGAGAGAGATTCAGAGGCCATCAGTACTTGGATGTTATTTAAGTAACGGGAGCGAGTAAGATTGCCCAGGTGTTATATATAAATAAAGAACAGAGCCCAAGGACTCGACCTTGGAAGATTTCCTGTCTCTAACCCTATTTGGTCATGCACAGCCCTTAGATTCTTTTTGATAGGTTGTGGTAGCCAGCAAAGAAGTTGAGATGATGAGAGTTACTGCTTCTCTCCAGAATCTCACCATCATATTCTGTAGATGAAATCAAATCTCAAATCACATTGTACAACACTGACATTTTTATTTATTTATTTTATTTTTATTTATTTATTTTTATTGAGGTAACATTGGTTTATAACATTATATAAATTTCAGGTGTACATCATTATATTTCGACTTCTGTATAGCCTATATCTTGTTCACCACCAAAAGTCTAGTTGCCATCCGTCACGGTACACATGTGCCCCTTTACCCCTTTCGCCCTCTCTCACCTCCCTTCCCCTCTGGTAACCACCAATCTATTCTGTGTATCCATGTGTTTTGTTTGTTGTTGTT